CCTGGTGTAACGAACGCTAGGAACCCAAACAGAAAACCCAAACCTGGTGTAACGAACGCTAGGAACCCAAACAGAAAACCCAAAACAAAAACCAAAAATTTTAACCACCATAGTTTAGTTTCACACATATTTATTTATTATTTTTGGCCATTTTGGCTTAATATATGTTTAATATATAAAGACTCAGTGGAATTTGTCATGTTTTTATTTTTTCTATTTTAGAAGTTGGTACAGACCAGATCAGTTTTACTATTAACCCAAGAACTTGGAGCTGGTGGACCACGGTCCTGCATTCTTTACCTAAACAGACTTTTTACAGGCGAAACCTCCCAGGGGTGCCATTTGAAGGCACAAAAAGTAGCTGCACAAACTCATAAAAAACAATCACTGCTTTACCTAACACAGTTCTGAACTGTAAAAAGTTTCTGCGGTCTGTTTGGAGCCCGTGTGACCCTCTCAAACTGTCAACGCTCGGCTCGTATGAACACAGTTTCCCGGAGGCTTCGTACCTGAACGCAGCAGAGTGGAGGAACAATGAGACACGTGGGAACCTGAGCCATGGGTCGGTCCGGATACGAAGGCCAAACAGCATCACAGGCTCGCTGACGGCGTCTCCACCGCTGCATTTTACACATTTTAAAGGCAAGTTTTAGTTATTTCTTTGGGTTTTGGTGGACTACAGCTTGATTAGAATAACAGTCACTGAAATGGAACAAACCCGAGGCAACAGTCTAGATGTTTCTTTGGATCATAAGTGATTTACAACACTGTGAACAGTATTTGTTTTTCTATTCAGCAAGAGGATCTCAGATGTTCAGGATCAGCCAGGAGCTGCCGATGATAACCAGTTGATCATCATCAGTGGGACCAGGTGTGTCTTAGCATAATTCCAAGAAGGAAAGACATCAGCAATTACCTCAGAGAAGCAACTGTTGGTGCCCATCAATCTGAGAAGGGTCAGAGTTTCTTTCTAAACTACCTGGAGTCCATCATTCCACAGAGAGAAAGATTATTCACAAGAGAAAAACATTTAAAACAGCTAATAGTATTCCCTGAAGGGGACGTCCCAGAAAATTCACCCTTAAGGTCAGACCATGCAGTGCTCATAGAAATGAGCTCCATCTCAGACTCGACAGGCCTCAATCAGCAGGTCAAAGGTCATGGCGTCTGCTCTCTAAAAACAAAATGGCAGCACCACTTAGGTTTGGAAAGTTTCATCTGAAGGACCCACAAGACTTCTGGGACAAAACCAAATAAAATGAGACGTTTACCCAGAATGCACTGCAACAAACACCTTATCCCAGCTGTCAGCCACTGAGTCGGCCATAAACTTCTCTGCCGACCAAAGGATTCCAGTTGTTGTCATTTTGTGTTTCAGAGTTTGTTTTCTTTTAGAGATCCTCACAGGTAAAGTCTTCACTTTATCTCAGTAGAACTTAAACTTGTAAAATCTGCTGCTTACCTGTGACCCGAGCATAAATCGGCTTTTCAGAGCTGCGTTCCTTCAACTCTGATCTCATTCAAACTCTTGTGTTGGGCTTTTGTGGTAAAGTCTGACCCAAGGAAATCAATTCACACAACTCTAGGAAAAGAAAGGATTTAATCCCAAAAATCAAAAGCTGATGTGCCAGCGGGCCAAAAGAAAAAGGAAACTGAAACACAAAGAGCAAATATGGGGTGGCAAATATAAAAGTAATCAAAGACATGAGGGCCGTGAAGGAGGAAAGAAGCAAACAGAGCATGACGAACAGGCGACCAAGATCCAGGGGTATAAAAAGGGTGGGAGTGATGAGACAAGTGGAGACAGCTACAGGCTACAGGGTTATTTTGCTGCTAATCTTGAAATAACTAGTTCCCATGAACCAGCCTCCACGTGTCCCTTCCTCTGGACGGACTCTGCTAACACACCGAGTGTTCAGTCTTTACTGTCTCCAACTTCCACTACCCAGGTGTGACTTCCAAACTCAAAGCCTTCAGGCCCAGAAGAGAACATGTGGCTGTCCTCTCAGGGTTATCAGGAAGCTGCTGATCATCTACTGGTTTCACACTGGTCAGATCTGCAGATAGAACGAGTTTCGGATCAGCAGTGTTTGGGTCCAGAATGATGGGGGTGTAGTAGACCATGTCCTTCATGTTGTTCCAGATGTTGAAGGCCAGGTGTTTGGCCTGGTCTATCAGAGCTCCTGAGGGCATCTGTGGATCCTCCAGCAGGGAGCAGCGCTGGACTCTTTCCACTGCAGCCTTGTAGTTGTGCAGGAAGAAGACATCTTCAGCTCTCAGCTCCTCCTCTGTGGCTCTGACTGTGTCTGAAAGAGCTTCCATCTCTCTGCTCAGAGCCTCCATCTTCTCCTTCATCATCCCACTCTTCTGCTCCTCTTCCTCCTTCAGAGCAGCCAGCCTGACCTCCTCTTCCTCTGTTAGAAACTGGTGAAGCTTCTTAAACTGCTCCTTCATCTGCCTCTCTGTGAGTCGAGCCTGGACCTTCATGTGTTCTGCTGTCTGATCAAACTTAGAGTGAACTTTCTTCTGGACCTCCAGCTTCTTCTTCAGTGGTTTCAGAGATCCCAGCAGATCCTCTGCAGCTTCATCGATGGGTCTGAATCTGTGGTCGGTGTGTTTCTTTGAGTCTCTGCAGACGAGACAAACTGGTTCCTGATGGTCCAGACAGAAGAGCCTGAGTTTCTCAGAGTGCAGACTGCAGAGAGCCTCTGAAGCTCTCTGATGGTTCTCCTGTAAGAAGGACTCACAGATGTTCTTCAGAGCCCGGTTACAGGCTGGATCCACATTTGAAGATCTCTTCCTACAAACAGGACACTCCTGTGCTGGTTTCTCCCTCCACCAGTTCTTCAGACAGACTTTACAGAAGCTGTGGCTACATGGCAGAAGAACAGGATCTCTGAAGACCTCCTGACAGACCGGACAGCAGAGATCCTCCTCGGACCTGGAAGCCATTTAGAAGATGAAAATACAGCAGACATTTTCAAACAGGATGTGGTTTCCCTCCTTCACAAAGTTTCTTCACTTTCTGTGTCAGTTGTTGAGATTTTTCGGCCAGCAGCAGTTCTACCTGAGTGTTTCTGTTCTCTCAGTTATTTTTAAACCGATGAAGTGAAAATGAAGTTTGTGAAGTTGGTTTGATGAAGTTTGGTCTCATCTGGTTTTTGATGCATCTCTTCCTCAGATCTGAACGATAACTGATTGTTTCCTGTTTTCTTTTAAACGACTGGCTGATGATTAAGGTGCAAAGAGCATGTGAAGTGTTTGCACTGATTTCAGATCAGCTCTACTTTTTGTCCAATAAAGCCAACACCTGAAGCTTATGCTAGTGTTGCAGGTATTTTAACTGATCTAGGATCAGTTGTTGTTAAGAACTGAGGGGAAAATCCATCAAAGCAGTGCTTAAGTTTGGTGTGGTATGTGATGAAGATGGGGGACACCTGAGTGTTTGGTACCCAGCTCATGAGCTCAGGAGGGTTTTAATCCTGCCATGCTGTAATAAAATACTGACACTGTGTTAGAATAAAATCTAGGAGTGAGAAGAACATCTAATCCTGGTCTCTCAGAGGAACCATCTAGTCTCCTGGTGCTGCACCTCCTCCATTCAACTACTTTCACTGCTAGCAACGCTAAAAGAAGCAAACAGCGTCGCCGTCCTGCTCCTTGTAGCCTCACTGCTGCACTTTCTGTTGAATTTCAGAGAAACGTCTGTGTGGCTGGAAGCTAACAGGCTAACAAACACTACAAGCTAAAAAAGATGAAACTCTCCTCTTAGTATCATTCTGACACAGAACAGAAACTGCTGTTTCAGACCTTTCTTTTGTGTTTATGAAAATAAATAATACATTTTCATGTTTTTTTTTTATGTCAAAGCTACAAAGAGCCGCAGACCTTTGTTTTAGGATCAGCCATGCGAGGAGGTCCAGTACAAGGCCCAAGTACAGGTACTACGTGCTAACGTTATGCTAAATAACTGCCCCACCACATATGGCAGTCTGTCTCCATCATCATGGAGGAATAAACAATCCTCATGATGCCTCCAAACTAAAGCCTTCTGTCCTGCAGCTGAAGCTCGGACCAGGCCGACGGCCCCAAACACAACTCAACATGTTTGGACTCTTTTGACCGAAACGGCAGATTTCTTTTGAAATCGGACGCTCTTGTTTCTGCCGATCCACATCTGCATGACTCAGATAAGTCAAACGCTGGCACAGCTGGATGTGTGTTTCTGATTCGACAACAAAAACACAAACAGCGGGATGAAGAGGACTGTGGTTCGAGCTTGATGCTCCAGTTACTTTACACAACGAGGACAGATGGAACTCTGAAACACGTATCACATGTTGTGGACGAGGACACGGTGGAAACTCTGTTTCTGGTCCAGAAAACAAAAAAGATCTAATGAAAACCAACAGTGGACGTTCCATCGGGTCCTTGACAGTTTCTGCTGAGGTTTCATCCGGTTACAGAATAAAGGTACAAAAACTCAGATTAAGTGGTGCTTTGTCACAAATCTGAAATCTCTGCGGTATGAAAGATGTTACATAACGTGAGGACTTCAGGTTAGAGAGGAGTTTTGAGTTTCCCAGTCCAAATATTCAAACACGTCATGGCCGACTAAATGAGCTCCATTCATTTAGGATTAGTCACGGTTAATATTTGCTGCAGTTTGAACCTGTTTTTTTACACCAAGAAGCCAAATTACTCATTCCTGCTTCATGTTGTGCTCGATGCCAAAAACTAGGCCTGAGTGGAACGAAGTGAAAACACAGGATGTGAAGGCTCAGAGAAGAACGGCATGTGGGCCAGAGTGGCAGGTTGGAGAAACAAACGGTGAGCGCAACGTGGAAACGTTCGCAGGATGGAAACAGAACTCAAGAGAAGAGAAACAAATGCTAACAAGCGGTACGCTGATGTCCGCCGTCTCTCAGGGATCTGAACAGAGAATGTTTGTAGTTTTCATGATGAGTGTTTTTCTGGACTGGAACTGAACAGGGAACGAGGTAAAAACTAAATCTTTTTTGTGCAAGATATTCAAGTGGAGGAGAGAGAGATTTCTTTTGGGTGCAAGGCAGCGCAGTGTGATGGATCCTGTGGGGAGGGGTGGGGAGTCAATGGTGGCCTCAGCCCCCTGTAGAATAATCTTCAGCCACCCCATTCATTAAATTATACTTTTAAGCATTATAAAACCTAGAACAGTTTCCTTAAATTATTGAGATGGTTAGTTTATATATGTGTACAGTGGTGGCTATGGCTGGGCAATATGGATCAAAAGGAATACAGTAGTCCCTCGCTACTCCGCGGTTCGTTTTTCGCAGACTCTATCGCGGTTTTTCAAAGTAAGATTGGTCATGACACTAAACTGGCTGATTGATGGAAGAGCCGCACGATCGGCATGGAATTTTTATTTAAAATTACTTTAAATTATTTAGCACCTGTGTGCAGCCCACTCTGCAGGAGAAGCTTCCTCCTGCATCATGTCATGATCTCGGGTCTGCAGCGGAGAAGTGGGCGTGGCCAAGAGCGCTGGCAGCTGAGTTCATGACATCCTGTGAGCGTTTAGAGTTTAGAGACATTGTTTAGAATATTGCAAGAGTGTGGGAAGGGTTTAAAACTGTCAAGGACCAGGGTTTAGGATTCAGAATAAGCCAGACACAGGAGTGCAAAAACAAGAACAATTTTTATTTATTATGCTGCTTGTTGCTGGAGTCAGGGTCCAAGCAGAAACCATGACATGATGGGGCGGTGAGTGTGAGACAGGGGCTGATGGGTCGGGGGGGGGGGGTCAGCGATGACAAAAACACCTTATGTCAATTCAATTCAGTTTATTTATATAGCGCCAAATCACAACAAAGTTGTCTCAGGGCACTGTGTGAAGCAGCACGTGAGGGGCTGTTTGTATTCAGTGAGGGAGGAGGGACCGTGTGAAGGTGGAGGCCCAGACAGAAGAACAAGAACCACAGATTTTCAAGTCTAATAGCACTCGATGGTTGCAGTAGAGCCCTTTTAACCACTGTAAATTGAAAAACTCGCGATACGACGAGTATATTTGATGCATCGCCCAGCTCTAGTGGTGGCCATCTTGGATTTTGATGCAGCAACCCAACTTTCAATAGGGACCTTTCTTACAACCACAAGCAGCCACACATCAAAAGAGGTCGGTACCTCATTATTTTTCACATCATCGTGCTCACAGCGTGCACGGACGGGTGGACACAGGATATTTCCAATTCTCACTCCTTACTCTGCAAAATGGGACAACAATGTTGGTGAGACTTAAATAAAGAAGTTTTGAAAAGGCACTAAAACAGAGAGGACTTGATAAGAACGGAGAGAAAAATGATCAAACTCTTTAAATATTCTCTACAATTGTTGGAAAATATTTTGGTATTTTAAGTAAAATGATGGAGGAGGTTCTGCTTTCAGCTGGTAAGTTGCCTAATTTAAAAGACACTGGGTCACTTGTAGAAAGCGGTCGTTAAAAGGTGAAGAATGGTTTTGTCGATGGGCCTAAAACAGTTTGCAGTCGTGTTTTTCCTCAACTACGTGATCGCAGCATTTCAAGCAAACGGCAAACTTGAATTCTGCCGCAGCGAGAAAGAAAAGCGCTGCTTCGAGCACAAAGTGGACTCTGTGAGGAGAACACATGGAACGACTTGAGCAGAATCAGATCTGAGTATCAAAAAAATCCACTTTAGAAAAGTGCTGAGTGGGAGCAGGTGCAACAGCAAATTCACCTTTTCTTTGAATTCCTAAAAAGCTGAGCAAGATGTTCGAGGTCTGGGCGGAACAACACGACTTTATGCTGCAGAGGGCAACAGAACCGACGAGACGGGACAAAGTGGTCTTTGTTGGACAGAACCCTGAGGAGCAGCGGCTGCAGCCAACGTTCAGATGAACAGATAAAAAACTTTACTAAACCCCCCCGAAGAGTGGAGCCGGAGCAGCAGTTGGACTTCAGAGTTTCTGGGTCGCAGCAGAACTCTAAATGTTGAGGTTCGTCACAAACAGAACAAACAGAGCGGGTCGGAGGCTGAAAGCTTCCCGTTAGGAAACTTTTTGTGTTTGGAGTCCGACAGAAGCTCAAGTCCTGACTTTTCTTTTGGTGACAGAAAAGATAAAACTTTAGGCGTTTAAATCAGATTCGTTCCTCGGCTGCTAGTTCCTGAGTTGCTGAAATGTGTTTTATATTAAAACAATGTGCATTTTTTGCAGAAAACAGCCGAGTGAACTTTGAACATCGAAGGACTTTACTGCAATTAGCTGAAAAAGATTAAACTAAGTTGTTAAAGCTAAAAAGAGCACAACATCAGCTAAAATGCTTAACGCTGCCATAAAGCCAAAAACAGACAAACCATAGCTAAAAGATAAAAGTAAAAATGGCTGGCTAAAAGTAGCAAAAAAATAGCTAAAAGCTACCAATAGCAAAAAGCCAAAAGTATTAAAACTGACACTGACTGCAGGTTTCGTCCCTCATCGCAGAGCGAAAACGGGAATTGGATGTTGTGAGCACGATAACTTGAACATTTCAGGTTCCATTTTGGTGTGTGGCTGCATCGAGGTGTGAAAAAGGTCACTATGGAACATGGGGTTGTCATGTTAAAATCCAAGATGGCTGCCACCATACATATATGTATACATACATATGTAAAACAACCACCTTGATCTTTTGAGGAAACTGTTTTCTAGTTTTTATTTTGCATAAAAGTAGATTTTCCTCAAATAATGATGGATTAATGGGGGGCCAAGGCCACCTTTGTCCAACAACCCCCACCCCGACTCCTTCTTTGATCCTGGTGGTGGATAAAACTGCTCCCTCAACTCTCCAGGACGCATCACGCTGCGCCTCCTTGAACAAGAAAAACCACCTCCCTCTGTTCTCCTCCTCAGTGTAACTCCTCCACTTGAATATCTTAAAACAAAAACATTTGGGTTTACTTTAATCTCTGTTCAGT